AATCTGTTCATAAAGATAGTAGAATCAGCTTAAGAGATAATTCGCTTTTGATACTACCTTTCACATATTTCAAAGTTCAAGACAGTGATCGCATCGACAAGAAAGCATCTTGTGACCACATTTCGAACCATTCCTGGAAAGGCGCATATTGCTTCTTTTAGTGATCATCGTACCAAATTATCAAAGAGCTTTTAAAGCTCGTTACTCTTCTAATTAAAAAATGGTAAAAGTACTTACATTGCATATAAAAACCGCCTAGTGCCACACTTGCCGCTTCTTCAGTAACGCTAGACTAGTGCATTTACATATCACGCGCTATTCCTTGATTATCCCATATGATACATTCAGAATAAAGAAGAAGAAATTTTGCAAGTCGACGCTTTTACATGCAAATGGTGTGAAGATCACCATTCAAATGTAATTTTTTGACACGGAAACGAGAGATGTGTCCTATTCGGAAATGCAGGGCGGTTTATATAAATCAATGTTTGATGCATATCTGGGAGCAATCATAGTAAATTTTACTACCTTCGTTGTCGAACCATCACATAATGTTTGCTTCTCATTTAGCAGTATACAAATCAAACTTACATGTTTCTTTCACTTAATGGACTTTGTCTTCAAGAAATTGTAATATCTATACAAAGCTATCAGGGAGTTTGCCGAAACCGCGCGATCCTCCGCTGGTCGCAATCAGAAAAACATAATTACGATGAAACTTCATTTGGGATTTATATGTGCCACAGACACCTGAGCGGAGCTGCAGGCAACGGAGTTTTGATTGAGGATATTGTAGGTAAATTTATTGCAAATAAATTACAGTAAACATATGGCACATAAGGATCATTGAGAAAAATTTGCTTGAATTTCGATGATTATGCAATTTTCTGCTTGTATGTACACAGAGAGAATAAAGCAAGAGCCAACGACAGGATACTGTGGATAAATTACGATAAAAATATGGCACATAAGAACCATCGAGAAAAACTTGCTTGAATCCTTTCGAAAATTCTGCAATTTTCTGCTTGAATGTACACGAAGAAGAAAGGGCAAACGAAATGGTTCTTTGCTCAAAGTTTACCGATTTTTTTGTTTACTTTTTGCGTCGGATTCTTCATTTCAAAAATCTTGTGAGATAATGCAAGCTATTAGATCTGTTTCGAGTCATCAGCCAACGTCCTTTTATCGATTCCTCAATTTTTTAGAAGCCTACCTTACGGCATCCACAAACTCTAATGAACAGAATATTGTGTGATAGCACGTAAAACCACTCTAAAATGAAGTTGTCACAAAATCATGTTTTTGACAGCTTCAGTTTAGAATATAGAAATCGAAAAAAAAGACTTAGTCGTAAATTCAAAAGATGATCCCTGTTGAACTCACACATCACCCCACACATCGTTGAGACGAATTCGGCTGCGAGACCGTGGCAGCATGTCAGTACATCACTTTTAATTGGACCATTTCCAATTCATGTGTCTCTTGCAGTGCGAAGATCTCCCTCTCGGGTGTCTTTCACTCGAACTTCTAAGCGTCGCAAGAAGTAGTCGAGGGTACTTTTTTCTATCATTTTTTGTAAAGCTTCCATAGGAATGGAATAAATTTGTCTGCTTTTCGCTATATCTCAAGACCTTGATTCTCTCTATCTCCAATCTCGTATCTCGCTCTGAATTTTTCTGAAACCAGACCTTGAACTGAACCGCATATCGCAGATTGAACATAATTCTATTATACTATCAGATTTGTATTTTATTAAACGATATTATCCGTTGAATCTGAATAATATTGACTATCGCTAACTGTCTAAATTTGAGTTGCCTGAAATTCTGATATAACGCTTGTTTGCCAAGAGGTTCGTATAGAATTTCTAAATTTTCTCTTTATGACGTAAGAATGACTTGGGTTGCCCCTTCACATTTTTCATGCATTTCTAGTGAATCGTTTAAATCTCACAGGTCTACAACTAACAAATACACAATCTATGATGACTGGCCATTATAGACGTAATTCTCTCTCATGAAAATTTCAGTTTACTAGAGGCAGAGCGCTCTTTCACTGCTGCCATATAATTGGGGCATAGTAATCGAAGACCATAATGTTATAGGTTTTTTGAGCAATTCTAGAAGATCATTAATGTCGAGCTTTGATGATTCACAAAATTTCAAGGCTTTAAGCGCTATAGTTTAGGACCTTTTGCCAAGTGCCGAGTGTTTCTTAAAAAAAGAGCACTTTCACCTTTCACCTACCTTGTGTTAACCAACCAGCTTGCTCGAAACTTCTCAAGTTAAGGGCTTTCCAGTCAAATTTTGAAAATGGAAACTGAGGAAAAATTGTTGATACGACAAACTACAAACAATCACGGAGCTGTCTTGAAACTCGCGTTAGAAGAGGTCTATTGCCTCTTTAGTTTTCATAAAGCTAGTTCGATGGAAAATGCACAAAAGGAAAAACGGGTCTACTAACACATACAAGTGGCGAATCGGGAGAGGAGAGTGCCTCCCCCCCCCCCCCCCCTCCTTGCCGCTTATGAAATGATGATGACGTAATGCAGACAACTTGTTATTTGATAATCTTGAATATTTTGTAGACGAAATAATAAGATTAGCTTGTTGAAAAAATTTCAGAAGTGTAGCTGTCGGCCGCCTTCATTTGTTTGTTCGGAAAATTCAAGTTATAAAACAACCCTCACCCTTACAAGGATTTCTATCCTCATTCCTTACTCCTAGTCCCCTCCTCCCCCAAGATAGCTCCAAAAGCGTCACTGTTAAATGCATTTAGTAGTGGATATCAAAACAACCAGCAACGGGCAAGTCTTTGAAGAATGCTATACGATGGCAAATTTTCGATTTGATATGAAACCGAGAGCGGAAGCAAAACACTAGCTTAAAGGCGAGAAAATCGCTGCGAAAAATGAGATAAGCTACTAGTGGCGTACCCAAAAAAGACTTTTTGGGAAACTTCCCAAAATTTCTGTGGACTGTCCACGACCCCGAAATTCCAGAAAAGGGGAGAAACGGCCATGTCCCCAAATAAATGATGTTTGCAAGGTTAATTCAAATTTTTTTTTAGAATTTCAAGAATCATCTTAATTACACATATAAACAATTGCGCATTTTATTACTTAGATAAGTAATTTTGAAAAATCTCACGACCCATTCCCGGAGGTCCCTCCCCCCTTGGTAAGCTATTGATAGCTACGCATTTTGGGGTTCACCCCACGAATAAAAAACCAACGAGGATGAAAATGTGCAAAATGAATGAATATGATGTAAAGATTTCTGCGGGAGTTTATGGGTGACGTCATCAAAAGATTCGTCTTTCTCTCTTCTGTTAAATGGAAGATTGCTTGTTTCTCTGCATTTCCACTTCAAAGCCCATCTTAGGGCTCAGCGTTAGATTAATAAAAAAGTTCAAAATTTGTTATCTATAAATATCGACTGACTTTTCAAAACTGTGTGTGCAACGAAAATATGATAAGTTGTAACATCAGATTGGCCTTTCTCGCAACTTCTTATGGACAAAAACTCTATCTAGCAACTCTACGAATGAGGTCCACCACATTCGAAATCTGCGATAGACAAAACCCTGACGAAAGGAAAAAGCTTGCAGTTACGCACTAATGCGATTGGAATTTCCAAATCCAATTAATTCCGGCATTTTTGGAAGACATAAATCAGCAATTTGAAGCCGAATGATGGCTTTCGAGAGTTACACGCGCAGATCGAATCCGCAACTACTAATCTCCGCACAGCCAATAGACGCGCAAGCCCGCCTCCATTTCACTCGCATTTTTGCAACATTTCCTCTCAAAAACTGTCATTCATTCTTTGGGTTCAGTCGAGGAGGTCTTTATTTGAAGTTTTGGGTTAGTGTGGCTTTATTTCCCTGGTTATTCCAGTTTACGCTCTGAGTAACTAGTTTTGTGTAAGTATTTGATTACGAGTCAAATGATTAGTAATTATTTTCTCACTATCTTCCGTGTTGTTAATGCAGACATGCTCAGATTCCAATAAAGCTTATTCGTAGTGTATATAACCGATTTTCGTTACCAAAATAAGACAGCTACTGACAAGATATTCAATTTTTTCCGTCTTGAGAGTATTTTACTTGTTATAGTTTTGTAGAAAGTACTTAGTCGTCAGTTATTTTCTTTATTAATAAGAAACAGGCCAATTTCGATTGGGTATTCTTTTATTGCATTTCCTGCAATACAATTACATGTTACGCTTCATTTTCCTCATCCTGAATGTTTTCGTGTCCGAATGATAGAGAAAAAGCGAAATAACATCTCTTGACAAGGTCAATTTCTTTCAAAATTCTGAACACTTGCTATAAAGCATATAGACGCAGAGCCATCTCACTTCTAGATTTGAGGAAGACTTTTTTTTTGATTATCTTGAGCAATCTTAATAAGGAAAAACCTTGTGGAAGCATACCTAAGACTTGTCACAACACCTCCTGCCATTACTGCTACAGGATATCAGAAGTGATGATTTCTTTTTCTTAAGCAAGTGAGGTTTATTAGGTTGGAGAAAAATATCCGGGCACTTGCGGAAAAGTTTCCTAGAGATTCGATATGCAGACGACTTCCTCGTTCAGATTCGCATTTGTTTTAGAGAAAATGTGAAATTGCTTTTTCGTCTAGATATTCAAATTTTTACAAATAATTTGTCGTTAAATTCAGATAAAGAAAATATAGAAATAATCTCTGAAAAATAACTTTCCTAGCAAATTCAAAAAAAAAGCTTCCGAAGGTGAACCTTGGAATTTTGCTCGAGTTCATGGACGAGACTAATTCTAATTCAATTTACATTTATTTTTTACCGACCATATCTCTGCGAAATCTTCTTTTGCTGCAACTTTCCTAGCTATGGCAATTCCTTGTAAGGCATGTAGTACTTGACGCATCACGATCTCGCTGTTAAATTACCATTCTCAAACTCTCGTGTTCGTGAGAGCGGACAAGTGCAAATGTTCTGTGCACTCACTTCGCTGATTTCAGGCGCGACATGAACGCCATCATCGGACTTCTTCTAGCAATGATAGCAGCGGTGGCATCGTTTTCTAACAGTAAGTCCAGTAAGGCAATAATTTTTCCGTCTGTCTCTAGGCTAGATTCAGTGGCCGCGTACGTTTAGTCTGGGTTCAGGGAGTATGTGGAGTTTCGAAGAGAAAATAAGAAAAAACCAAGATTCGAGTCCAGTAGTTATACAAGATGTATGCTATCTTGTAGTACATGGAACTTTGATTTCGAAATTGCTTTCGGTATCTGCAAAGCGCCTATGGGAGGGGAGTTATGGAAATATGTTGATGCAAAAATGCGCCGCTACATCGAAACCTTTGGAACTTTAGACTATGAGCTCGAATGGGGCCATGATCACTATTAGGGCGTTCTAGCACAAATATTTCAAACTGAATAAACTTGTAACAGTGGTCCTTCTTTTAAGCGCCGAAAGAATGCAAAACCTTTTTTACCTTGACCAAATCATTGACACCTCAAAAATTCCCAAAACTCTCCTACCAAAAGCGCTTTGCAGATAAAGAAAGCAGATTTGGAATCAACGTTCCATGCCCAATGAGATAGCATACGTTTCACATGAAAACACTTCTATCAGGTATCCTTCCCTTGATAGAAACAGCGAAGGGTCTTGTCTGTTCTTTTACCAAAAAACTCAACAATTATGGTGTCTAACTCTGCCGCAGACTACTATAGGAATCAAGGCTAAATCATACATCAGGCCTGGTTTTATGTCCCAGCTCAATATTCCTTTCTTCTTCAGCCCTTTTAGAGTAGAGAATTTAGCAATAAATTCTAAATTTCTCATCAGCAAGAATTGCGTTGGTTCATATTTGAATTCGAAACTTTTTCTGAGAGATTGCATCCTATAAAGCTCAAGAATCTTCACAATTCATTTTTTATCAAAAACTTTATGATTTTTCATCAAATCCATGGCATTGCAGAAGGACGGGTCTGAACTTATTCTCAATTTTTTAGCGATCTAAATGATCTGAACTGATATTTCAAAGAAAACCCTTAGATTTTCATAAAAGCTTCTTCTTCCTGAAATGAAAACATTTAAACCCTCTTTAACCTCTTTAAAAGCTATTCATCTTTTCTTAGAAGCGAAACTGCTTGTCGTGGCCAACTCTATTTACATTGACGCGCTACAACAAATTAGAGATGTTTGAGTTGCTTCACGCCTTGCCTCAATTTGCCCTAGGCCATGCAATAAATTTCGATTAAAAAAGTGCGGAGGAAGCGTTGAAAAACGTCACTATCACGGAGTATACGTCATCCTCAGGACATTTTCACTCCTATCGCAATAGCTCCAGATCATCGTAAAAGTGATGTCACTTGCATAAACATTTGTTTAGAAAAAGTGGTATTCTCTACGTAAGCATTTATCACATAGGCTAAAATTTTGCCACTTCGCAGCACAGCATTTCACGCTAGGGCTCATTTTTATGATTCATTCTCCCCCGTTCCACACATTGTGCTTTTTGACATTTCCGTTTTCATTCTTTTTTCGCAACTGGCGTCATTTAGCATAGCGCTACTTCTCATCCGACATTTTGAATATATTCAAGTAGGTTTAGGATTGAGTAAAAATACGCGAGTAATGACTGAACATAGTCAAGTGGAAAATGTGTTAGGAACTTGCAAGGAATATAACCTTGTCCCCCAATGCATTGAACAAGATTTTATTGCAATCGAGCTAAGTCAATCTCCCCTAGGTTAGGGAGCGAAGATCTTACAAGGGTTGCAAAGTCGAAGTATCCAATCGCTAAGGTGCATATTATCTTGAAGAGCTTAAAGCACTGATTCCAAGTGTGCTTTCCATACCTGCAGAACGCCCGCGGGAAGGAAGTTATGGACTTTTACTTGCAAAAATTTTGCAAGGCGCGGAGTAGCAAGAATTATCAATACTTGAGCATTTCGGACTCAAACCTACTTAGAATAGCTTATCCATTCTCAAATGCTGACCTTTTTTGGACGTTATTCTAACTGGAAGGTCGGTGTGCTGGAAGGTTCTCTGACCAGTTTTTGAGATAGCTAATTGTCCGCTTCTTAATTCGCAATGGTTGCACGTTTCTTGATGTTGGCTAGAGCAATTGATAAAGCTTTCTCAAAAAATAATATTTGTGAGGTGATGACAGACACCATTCAAACCCTGCACGCGCTTTAAATTTGCCTCGAACAACTTTGCAAGAAAGTGGTTTTGGAGACGAGCATTTTTATATTCGAGCCAGCATCTTACAATGTGCCAGAATTCAAGAACATCCCAGCATTGTAACAAGAATCAATATGGAGTCTAGATCTATGGAGAGTAAATCTAATAAATGATTTTATGCTCCCAGGATGAAAAAAGCGGCCAGCGGCAACTACGGGCTACTGACGGCTCAAACATGAACTTCCGCTCACAAAGTTAAGCCAACGATCGCTTGCTCGACGCTGTACCTGGATTTTTACAAAAAAAAATCATTGAATCCCTGATAGGTCAAACCTCTGTTCATTTGGTTTCACTAAATCAGAAATCTAGAGTGATTAAATCAGTTTGAAGTGTCTGCATAGCGAACCCTTAGATCACGCTCCTGGCAGCGGTATCGTCAACCCTCGAACGAAGGCGTGTGTAAGGATCATAATAGGTGAATAGTGAATATGGAACAGTCTCAAAAGCAATAACTGTTATATCAGTTTTCATAAAAATCAGCATAAAGAGCTTTCTTTAAAGGCAGCGTCCAGGCAGATTCTCGACTTCTATATTTTTATCTTATCCAGGCCTTTCCATGGCACTGATTCCGAATATGGAACTCAAAAAGCATGAAATTCTCAGAAAACCACCTTTTGGGGCTATTTTGGGAAAGCCCGGACGAGTGCTTCTGATGTTATCCTTGTCGAAAGCAAGTATTAACAGGTAAACGCTGTAAGTTCGACTGTGTTGGTCATGTGAAAACACGTCAAGGCTGAGGAGTTTTCGTTCATAAGGGGTTGGCCGTCCGAGGGAAGTGGGCGTGGTCGTCGAGCTCGGATCTGCCTGGACGCTGCCTTTAAGGCAAAGGTTTTTGAGCGCGAATCATCCAGCCCATTATGTAGCAATCAACGCGGAAATTTTAACGGAGCGCGGAATCGCGCGCGGCAAAATGTCCTGCTACACCATGTGTAGCATGAGGAACGTTAAAGACCGGCTTTCTTTCGTTGCACGATTTCGAGCTAACAATAAGTTCAAGAAGTGTTTCGCAATTTCCTTACGCGTACTTCCACAATGTTCAACATTTGACGTCATGGTCCTAAATTTTATGATGGGAGCAAAAGCTACGTGGCTACCCCCAAAATTAGCCCCAGAATTGTCAAAGTAGTGCATTTCTCTCATATGGACGATGGTGGTTATCTGACATTGATTATAAGACTCGGTACTTCTCCGTTATCAGAACCCATTTTTTCAGGTTTTCTCAGGCAGGATATTTGCCTTAGCCTAAAGAATTTTTTTCATAGATTCTATGAGGACTGCACCCCTACAGCGTCTCAGGATAGAAATTAATACGTTTATTCTCAGTTCAACATGCTTTTTCAAAAATTATTTCCGGTGTGGTACGGGAACATTCGAAATGACTTGAAAGCTGTTCAGCGACCTTTTATGGAAGCAACACGAGCCAAACAGTTGATCAGCATCTTAGTCGCTTTCAGGAAGAATTCCAAAATATCTCCCTTTTTAATTGCTTCCCCATGCGAATATGGCCAGGAAAGAATATAAATGATGACTTGGAGTACCTGACTGCCGCATGTTTCGTCGCTCAAATGATGGAGTAATAGTCCACTCTTCTGTTTTGTGCAAATCCAGGGCCCGGCACGAGGTGGGCAAATGGGGTTTTCCAAAACGAATTCCCCTTTGTTTCCAATAAATTTTACGAATACCCCCTTGAGCCCAAAAATGACGCTTTGTGCTCGTGCAACGAAAGTACCGGCCACACTTCGCCTAAAAGCGCTCAAAAGCGCCCAAAGTGCTCAAATTCACTCCTCAGCTGTATCAAGATAGAAAACAGGAAGGAAAATAAGCAAGAAAATGATGAAGGAATGAGAAAATATCAAAGTAATGCAGTCATAGGAATGAGAGACGCCGTTCCCGCGCGTATCGATTGATTGGGGCGCGCTTTCCATCTCAGAAAACTAGGCCGCTGATGCGATTTTGGGCTCTAACAAAGACAAGAGGAGGAGTTTCGGAACCAAAATCTCACCATACAGTAAACTTTAAGTGAACAACAGATTTATGTAAAAATCTTGAAAAAATTATGTGAATTGAAAGTTTTGCCCACCTCAGGTGGGCATTAGGTGGGCAATTGCTCACCTAATTTGGAAAAACGTTAAGCACGCTCTTCATTCACATAAGTTTTTCATAATTTTTCAAACATTGTTCCTTAGTCCTACTGCGCATATATACACCAAGTCTCGCGCGATTTCGTTTCCTCTGCGCTGCAATCGAGCCATTTTTCAACTTTCTTGATGGGGGCAAATTTGAAAATAGCTTGCCACAACCTTTAATCACATAATTTTTCAATGAAACTTCTAAGTTAAGCCCTGCAGGCATGTGTTCATGTATCTATCAAGTCCCATACCGTATGGTCATCTGTGCGCTGCAAACGAGCCATTTGAATTCACATCTTCATTTACCAGTTTTGCAAAATTTTTGGGAAAAATGCTTATTACTCCTCCCATCCACATAAGTTTTTCATAATGTTTCACAATTTGTTTCTACTAGCCTCTCTTCGTTCGCTTACACAATTTGGTGCCATATCGTTACGCCTGCATTGAGAACTGATCATGTAATCATGCCGTTCAACGGCATCGCTTATGCGACGTCGCGCACTCGGCAAATAGCGGCGGCGCGGCGTAACGCGCGAACTCTGCTGTGCGTTGAGGCTTACGAAAACTACTTCTTAAAAAATTAGATGTATAAGGTAATGAGCATGATTCGACCTTCTTTCGCTTGCACTTGGAATCTTCTTCCGGGGCTCCGCTATCGACCCCGCAAAAACGATTTCCCCCTTGCTTTTTCCAACAAAAACGACTTCCA